AGACGCTAGCTTCACTTTCGACTCAACAGGACTCTCAGGAGTGAATCTGAGCGCTGACTTGGTATGCTGGAAACTGCAGCAGCTAAAAAGAGGCACTTCTCTCTGCCTGGATATGGTCCATCAACTATACTGAGAGAAGTAGCTCCAATCTTGGCGAAATCGCTTAGTGTGAGGTAGGATATTAGAAAATTGCAAGCTGTCTCACATGACACTGATTTTCAATGGAGAGTGACGGAGCGAACCATTAAGCTACCACCCAGTAGCACTTCTCGCAATGCCCTCAAAAATTATGGAGTTCCTGATCCTACAGTGTTAATGTCTAACTGCTGAGGAGTCCCATGATAGGACGAAACGGCCGTCCATTGCTTCCAGGTTTTCGATGGTGGTCTAGCTTCAATTGACTCATGATTTCAACTGTGAAAATATTAAATTCTCCACAAAACCCCTCTGATCTATAATCATATGCTCACTAGTGACTGACTTCAAGAGATATTTCCTTGAGTTCTAGTGGGAAGCAGTGGCTAGTGGAGTTCTACCAAGTCTGTTGTAGAGATATCAACTCACTGAAGACAATTGGTGAACGGTCGCTCAAAGTCGTGGATTGGTTGAAGTTAGACATTAACACAATTGGATGCCGGCTCAGTGGTCTATCGTTTAAGGGCTTCGGCTCGAGACTGGTAGGTCCTGAGTTCGAATCTCGCGGGTGCGGGATCGTGGATGAGCACTGCTGAGGAGTCCCATAATAGGACGAAACGGCAGTCCACTGCTTCCAGGTTTTCGATGGTGGTCTAGCTTAAACTGAATCATGATTTCAACTGTGAAAATACTCACTATCCATCAAAATCTTCTTCACCCTGACACCATGGTTTCAGGAAGCGTCATCCTCGTATAATCAACCTACAGACGGCAGTGTACAGATGAACAACCATCCTTGACGGCAAGCTTTTGATAGGGTCAGTAAGGTCAAACGAGCAAAAATCAAGCCACCATTACTTGGTTGGCTTACTTCACATTCAAATAACTGAATCTTTAATGTCAGGGTAAACTTCACTTTCACTCAAGCCACAGAATGTTCTAGTAGTGTCTCCCAGGGCTCGGCACCAGGAGTTTACTCTATGATCTGAAGTCTTACATCAACTGCGACAAAATATGTTCCGAAGAAACCTTGAATTAGCAACATTGAGGAGCATTTTGGGCCAGTTTGACGGATGGGATTTCCCCTTAATCTTCAACTGTTTTATTCTACTCCACTTAGGACATGGAAATGCAGCGTTTCCTCCCTCACTCCACAAGAATACGGGCGCTCTGGAACGTATCCTACGGCCAGCCACGAAATCACTTCCAGGAGTCAAATTCAAGTTTTATGAAGACCTCCTTGAATCACTGAACCTTTACCCGATAGATTGTAAGCATATTAGGGGTGATCTAATGACTTACGGAATCTGAAACACTTTCGGGCATCCCCTTAAACAAGCTATTAAGCTTAATCCCAACACAAACCTTAGGATTAACACTGAGAAATCGGAGACAACACAGTAAAACGGACTGTAGGCACATTTTCTATTCCTTAAGTGTAAACAAATGTTGGAATTCGCAGCTGGCTGAGCTAGTACTGTAGTGAACAGAACACTAGTTGGGGACAATCGAAAGTATTTAAGCAAAGATTACAGACTATCTCAGTAAATTCTGATTACCAAACAATGAACAGTCAATTTGCAAATTAACAACCAATTCTTTCATTCTTCACTGTTTCTTCTCTTATTCCATTGCTCATGCATTTTCCAGACGATTGCGCTTCATTTCAGTTCTTTACTCATCGGTCTTCTGCCAAAATACATTCTATGTCTGACCCACACCATATACTAATTATATGGATATAAGTAGACCATACCACAGTACAAGCGACTTTCCAGCAGTTCTTTAAGAGGAAACTTGACATATAAGAACTAAGTACAGTGTCTCGCTATAATTTACCGATTTTTTTCTTCTCTTTTGTCGTTAAATACACCTAAGTTCTTACCAGTAGACATCAGTGAAAGTTTCTTCTATTCCATCAAAGACTATTTGGATCTATAGATCATTAACTTAGATGATTTGTGTTGTGTGACTGAAAACCTATTTGAGTTAGACTTGAATTGTATGACTAACCAGCTAACGTTGAAGCACATGTCACGGTCATTACCTAACGTGGATTACCTTTTCTTAGTATCTAGATACTCTGACATCTTTGATGACCGTGCAACACAAACGACGTTGTTATAGAAACATACTAGTAAGAGTAGGTACAAGGAATAGAGTGTGACAACTGCTGCATGGAGCAGTCCATGGAGTGCAATTAGCAGATGTGCGTTGGTTGTCTTCGACCCTGACGAAGATCGGTTAACTGTTCAATATTTAGGGATCTGACTGCCGGATGATCTGGCGAGGGCTCAGTGAAATTTCTCTAGCTCAATAAACTATTTTGAGCCTACCATTACCTTAGCTGCTGAAGCCTTCCAGTATCATTGAAATCAATTTTTTTCAGGATATATGTTTACCTAATAAATAATATTTTCAAATACTGTAAAACTATTCGTTCTAATTTAGACGAGAGTTCTTATATTTTCCATAGTTTTTCAGTATTTATTTGATTTGTACAGTATCTAAAGTGTAAACCAGACCAATGCAACATTTGAATTTCAAACGGTTGAATGTATTAGCTTTACACAACTATCTACGACAGGTGGATTGGGATGTTCACCCACAACTTGAAGTGGATGCTCATTGGGATTTCTTACTGCACACGATCTTATGTGCTACTAAGCATTCAGTTCCTCAAATGGCTCCAAAAAGCTACAAACAACCTGCAATCATCAAGAACCGCACTCGCCGGTTGCTAAGTCGCAAAAGGCACTGTTGGGCCGAATATAAACGAACTGACATTAACGACACATACAGGCAATACAAACATATAAGGAACATATGCTCAAAGGCAATAAGAGAAGACAGGCTTCAGTACCTGATCAAGCTTATCGATATATTTTTCTCCAATCCGAAAAGCCCATTTCGTTATGCAGCTTTTCTTTGACAACTGCTAGGTCTTAACGGTCCGACCAATAACGACGGTGATGCCGCTAACCTTTTGGCTGAACAATACTCTCAGACATCCCAGCCGACCCACATCAACTTTACTGGCGAAAGCTTCACCTGCACCTCTACAGGACTTTCCGAAGTGGATCTGAGTGCTGACCTGGTGCTCCATAAACTGAAGCACCTAAGAAAAGGCACTTCTCCCTGTCCGGATATGGTTCATTCTGCTATATTGAGGGAAGCAGCTTCAATCCTGGCATCACCACTCAGCGTGATGTTTTCACTCTCGCTAAGCCGAGGTGAACTGCAGGAAATTTAGAAGCTGGCCCACATCACACCAATTTTCAAAGGAGGTCGTCGCAGTGAACCCTCAAGCTACCGACCAGTGGCCCTTCTCTCCATACCTTCTAAAATTATGGAATCCCTAATATACGACGGTATACAAAAATACTTATTATCCTTAAAGTTCTTCTCACTCCAACAGCACGGTTTCAAAAAGGGTCATTCTTGTATGACCAACCTGTTGACTGTGGTGGATAGATGGACAACCGTCCTTGATCGCAAGGGGAAGGTTGACGCCATTTACCTTGATTTCTCAAAAGCTTTTGATAGGGTCAACCACATATGTCTTATCAACAAGCTTAGACGACTGGGTATCAAACCCTCTCTGATTGACTGGCTGACTTCATATCTAGAAAACCGACATTTTAAGGTCAGGGTTAACTTCACTCTCTCTCAGGCTATGGAATGTCCTAGTGGGGTCCCCCAGGGTTCAATACAAGGACCTCTTCTCTTCTTGATTTACATTAACGATCTTCCTCAACAAGTTTCATCTGATTTATTGCTTTTTGCTGATGATGTGAAACTTTGGAGAGAGATACGTAACCATAAGGATATACTAGTATTTCTGGGGGATCTGACTCAATTTCAAAGTTGGGCAGAAGACAACGGACTTACCTTCAACACTTCAAAGTGCAAAGTAGTCCATCTGAGACATGTTGCAGACTATAGTTACAACTTAGGAAACTCCTCTCTATAGGTTTCCCAGGTCGAAAAAAAATTTAGGAGTGTAGGTACTCTACGACCTGAAGTCGTACGCGAATCGTGACAAAAACGCCTTTCAAGCAAACCTTCTACTGGTAACATTGAAGGGCATTTTTGGCGAGTTTGACGGTAGAACCTTCCATATAATCTTCAACAGTCTTATTCGTCCCCGTTCAGAGTACGGAAACATAAAATTTCCTCCCTCCCTCCAAAAGTATAAGGACACTCTGGAACGTGTCCAACGTCGAGTCACGAAATCAGTTCAGGGACTCAGATTCAAACCTTATGAAGTGCTCCTCCAATAACTTAATTTTTACCCGTTAGAGTACAGGCGCCTTAGAAGTGACCTTCTTATGACTTACAGTATCTTTAATATTTCAGGTCATCCCCTTAAACATATTCTTAAGCTTAGTCACAACACTAACCTAAGAGGTAACACTCAGAAACTGGAGACCCAATATAACAGAACAGACTACAGATACAACTTCTACTCCGTAAGAGTTGTCAAATGTTGGAATTCGCTGCCGACTGAGCTAGTCCAAGCAACTTCCCAGGAGTTCTTTAAGAGGAAACTTGACTTATTCTTAAGGACTTAGGATAACATACTATTTTGACTTACCAAATTCTTTTTTTTTCTCTATTACCGTTAATATACCCAGGTTCTTGCCTGGAGGTATTGGTGATCCACTGCTACTAGACACGGAAGCCCGTTAAGCGAAAGCTTCTATTCCGTCGTCAACCATTTGAACGTAAGGCGCTAAAGTACACTAAAGTACATTTGTCAGTGAATGTTGATTGCTGTTCAACAGATAATGAAAAAGGTGGGTCTTTCTACATGACAGTAACGAATTGTAAAAGTTCAGTGAAAATTCAGTTAGAAGCGAAGGATGGTATATCCAGGTTTCTGGTCGTTTCTGTTTTCTTTTTTAGATTGTAAGAATATTTCAAGATTTCGTTATGTTTTAGTATTATCGATTCGAAATACTCAATTTATTACACAGCGTGATCCTTTCGTCACCACAGTTTCTGCGGTAATCACTAATGTTAGTCAAAAATCAAGTAACAGATATGAGATTCTCCTTTCATCTGATTGTGTCGCCATACGGTCCATTATAAATATCACGGTAGAAGATAAGGTTGGTTGAAAGATTTCTTTGTCTGAAAACTGAATAAGTCATAATGTACACGTATCCTGTTAAAAATATAATTTTCGATACGACTTTTGTACTTAATGTTACCTTTAACCTAGTAATCAACGATTTAACATCTTAACTCGAAGTGATGGTAGTAATGTACATTACTACCATTATTACCATCATTTATATATATGGTACGTACCATATATATAAATGATGAGAATAAATATGGTAATTTATCTCGTGACTTCATTTAACGTATAAGCTTATTCAAGTTAACACTTTGTATTAGTCACCCCATTTAGTTTAATTTTATCTGACAAACAATCATTAATTCATCTGTTATACTTTTTAAGTGATGTACTTCACCTTAAATTTGGTTTGAAAAAATAGTCTCCATCATAGTGGTGCTAAAGAAAAGAATTCAATCACTCTGAGAGTAGAAAAACACTCTCCTAGTGTATTTTATGTGTGAAGTCTTTGTTCTTGCCCTTATTTAGATCGTTTGTTGGACCCCTGAAGCAATTAGACTTCAGCACCTTGAAGCCTATGTTATTTTCTACCTGATTTAGGCAACAGAACATTTATTACATATTTAGGAAACAGAGTTCTCAGTCTGGAGAACAACCAATAAGGATGCGCTAAAATATTGCAAACACTACTTTTTATTGCTTTAAAGTTAGAGGTTCTGCTCAATAACACTCAGCAGTAATCTTCGTAAAAGACCTCAGATATGAGAAAGTGAAACATTTCATTTGAAGTTTCCTACTTTTGTATGTAAAATGAGCTCAAAGATCTTTTTCACATCGTAGTATCAATCACATTTTTTGTTTAATTCTCTTCAAGGATTAATAAACTGATTCATTCACTCTCATACTTACATGCTATCTTTCTCGGAGGATAGAGCGCCTACCAACGATCTCAAAGTAACCGTCTTCGACTCCTACCTCCGTCCTACTTTATGGCTGTGAAACATGGCTGGTAAGAGTTGAGGATATTCGTAAGTTACTAGTATTCGACCATAGGTGTCTTCGAATCATTGCTCGTATATCCTGGGACCACCGGGTAAGTAATGCAGTTGTTAGGAAACGGACACTAGGTAAGGATGGCTGGGACACGTGTTACTGATGCCCAACCACCGACTACCCCAATGAGCGATGTTTTATGGTGTAGGAGTAGGTTGGAAGAAAGCTAGGGGCGGCCAGACCTAAACGTGGCATAAATCCATGAAGTCGCTGACAAGTAGACTGAGCTATGTTGGTAGGTGTAGACTACCTGGTTGGGATTCGCGAGATGATAGCAATTGGTGGTTAAAGACCTTGAATGACATGGCTCGAAATCGTTTGCAATGGCGAAGGTGCATACACTCTTTGTGTTCTCCCAAACTTTAATCTTCTGAATTCTTCATGTCCCTTTCTTTCTCTTTCCAAATTTATTTCACTGGATTATACTCCTTGAATGACATCTTCAAACCCTAATCTTTCACATGATGCTTATACTCTTACTACTTCTACCACTATGGGATTTGAATCTACAACTGTAACTCTATGCTAATGTGGTATGGCAACTTGAACTGATGTACGTACGTACGAAGTTCTACGTTGTGACTGACTGACAGCTCGTTAATCCCGAAGTTTGGAGTCTAACCAATCTTTCATTTAGTTCACTATCGCTCAGCTGAAAAGTTTTCCTGTTACTGATAGTTGTATGATATCTCCGCAGTTCTCACACGTACTAGGATCTCCCTTATTCGGTATCTATCTAGTCTATTAGTATTTGTCCCTCATCCCAAATCGTTCTGAAGAGAACTGATCATCTTTGAAGGTACCACTATGTCCGACTTCAATGTTTCAGCTAGTATGCTGTCTGGTCCCACTACTTTTTCACTCTTGATCACACTTATACCTTTTGTTGATGGAGCAACATCTGTAGGGAGGTCTGCATGTTTTGTTTTGATGTCCGGTGGGTTCAGTCCAGCTGATCTGTTTATAAGCTCTTCAAATTGCTCTGTCCACTTGTTTCGCTGCCCTTGAACCTCAATAGTTGGGTTATTTTTTTGTTCTTAACTAGTCTCTTTGGTCTACTACATTTTCGTGTTAGCTTCTTGGTTGTACCATATAGTTCCTCTATATATTTTTTATCCCTTTTTCTGTCATATTTACCAGATATTCCACACGTTACCGCTTGTCAGCTCTAATACACTTCACTTATTTGTTTGCTGATGTGTTGTTATCCAATGTCTCGGTTTTCTCTACTTCTGCTTGGCTACTGTTGACTTTTATCTTCTAGTTTTTTTTCTTGAGTCTTGCCCAGGCTATCGACAGAGATCCACTTTCTATCCTGTTGCCTCTTAACACTAATCACCTGGTATGTTGAGCTTATGCTTTTTAATCCCATTGTAGTTGTTTCCCTTATTGGTTTGCTTCCCTCCTAATAGACCCTGTAAGACTTGGAACTTGTTGCTGGGAGCCAGCTTGAATTATCTGAGTCTCCTAGCACCTTGAATGAAGGCTAGAATTAAACTTTTGATTTTCCGTACTGTAGCCCGATGAATTCGACGTAGCTTTGTCTTTGCACCTGTGTTGGAAAATTCTGCCACTTATAGCCATTTTATTGAAATCAAACGCATCTACCAATGTTGTTGCTTTCCTGTAGTCCATGTTGCTCCTTGTTGCGTTCATACCTTGTGTTTCCCGCCCCGACCTTGCGGCTTAAGTTCCTCAAAAATTGATCATGTCTTTTCCTAGGCACTTTCCAATAAAGATAACTTTTTACATGATTATGAAGCAGTAACATGTATTTCAAAAAAATTTATTCCTCTTCGGTCATCACGATGACAATCAGATTAACTAATTTTGTAAGCGAGTTGAACAACAATGGTTGGTATCTAATTTAACTCAATGAAATACAGTAAATTTATTTTGTCTCATGTTATCCGCATGTTAGTTTGATGTGTAAGATTTAAACGATCATGTGGTGTAGCCACCTTTGACGCCATATATTTGTAAGTTAAAATTGATATTGGTTTAATTTTTTCAAGAACCACTAAACTTATGACAATCACATTCTAAGCTGAATGTTTCTATGTGATTATTAATCTTCCACATTTTCCCTATTATCATAGCAAATTGATTTTATACCACATATTCTGGTTACTTAACAAGTTTGCAAAACAATTAGAATGAAAGTTCAAAAGAGAAGATATTAAATTTTCATCTAAAAAGAAAATTACCTCCTATATTATTACAAAATCATAATTTTACCGAGTAAAATTTGCTTAAATACCACTTACACTAGATATTTAAAAGTTTAAAGTGATATAATTGTTTTGACTGTTCATTCTTATCCAAACAGCTTCTCATTAAAACTCGAAATCACTAAATGAATTATTTTATCACTCATTTTAGAGATTCATTGTAATTCAGCCCAAAATTAAAAAACGAAAATATTAAAATTGCTTTTATTGCTTTGCAAAAGATAAAATTACGGATAAATTGTTTTCAGGATGAATTCCACAGAACATTAAGCTCTTTATCTTTTCCATATGTTTTCTGTTATAGAGAGTATCTATATCTTTGTGAAATGCCTATAGAAAAATTATTTTTATAATGATGTAAGAATTCAATTTTTATACTAGGATTGCCAAAGTCTCTGAGGATTTATTCCTTGGGATTTCAAACCCCTGAACCTCCAAATAATCAATCATAAATTCAAACTGAATGTAACAGCTCTCTCCTACTCACTGTTACTGCATATAATTAGTAAACTAAATCTGTTCAGTGTTCACTTGTAAATTTTTGGTGGGAATAAAATTTTTTACCTTTACATAGTGATCTATGTAACTCTCCCAGAATAAGCATAAGCAATCAAAACATCACAAGATGTAAAGACACACTTACAGAGATATATAAATATATTATCTTGATTGTTGTAGCATACAATAGATGTAGATTGGATTATCCCGTTGTTGATATTGTGACTGGGATATGATCAGTCTTGGTTGGGATATGTGCATTCTATGCAGATTGCCTCGATATAGCCATTGTGACACAAGACTAAATTTCAGTCTCGAGGTAGTTCAATGTATTTCGAATTGGATCCAAACTCGTATCCGTTGCAGAAGTGAGTAATTATCCGGACTCGGTAGTTAGGTGGGTAACACGATGGTTTTTGAAACGAACATTGCTGGGTTCAAGTCCTGGAGTGTACGTCAGCTCGGGGATCCATGTACATCCAGATGGTGAGTCTCGAATAGGATGAGATGCGCGTCCTGGATCCCACTGTTAGCCCTATTCTATATATTCTATAGTATTCATGTTTAAGCTTTATCATTTCTGTGTCGTAATATGAATATTGTTCACTGAACAGATCAACCTCAAAAATAACAAAATGTAATTTAATTTATCTTCCTTTCATTTTATAAAGGATAATAACATAAGTTCAACCATATATCTCAATAAAACCTTACAAAATAATATCATTGTGAATAGCACATGTGAACAGAAAAGACAGGATTTGTCAGTTTCATGGTCGCCAAATGTCAATCTCTCAAACTGGAAACTTATATTTGTGTTTGAAGAGGATTCTGAAAGATATGACCTGGAACGCATAGGCATTACTTACACAACAATTAAAGGTAATTAACACTTTTTTCTTTGGAAAAGTTAAAGTCACTTTAACTTTAGTTGTGTTTTTCCTCTCTTCCCTTAAAGACAAAATTAATCAAACATCGCACTTTTCAAAAAATGGAATGCCAATAATAGTATAAGCGTTGTAGCTATTGAACGAATAAGTGTTTACCCTATTTGCTAAAGATGATTACGTAGGCAATGTGATGGACTTGAAATGATGTGTAACTAATTGCTAACTATTTGATTCCAAGTTTTTCATTAATACTAACCAAAATCTACATACTTCACTTGTATATTTTGTTAGTTTAGCATGCTAACACCGCCCCTATAATAAGTGAAATGAGGTTAATTGTTTCAAATGCAATTTTATTATACAGGCAATGAAATTGATGCTAATACAGATAGAGGTTTGTTCACTATTCCTGTTGGTGGATATTATGAATGTGCCAGTCGTTTACATAGAGAACTATTCGTGGAAGATAATGGTAATATAATGTTCAATATTTATTTTTTAAACTCATCAATGGAAGCATTTAGACTTGAAAATCGTCGAGAATTTATGGGTCTTGGTAAGTGTATAAATATAAAGCTGTTGTAAGAGACCATTTAACTGCGAGGTAAAAAACTTTCGAAGCTATTTTTCTTCAATTATACTGATCACATGTTTATTAAGTATTGTGGTTATATTATTTTCGTATTACCATTGTCCCAAGCTTTTATTTGAACAGTAAATTGTTGCTATGGTATTTTCCAAACGCAGACTAGAATCGGTTATTTGTATACACAGTACTCTGTTTTCCCCATCATTAAGGTCGTTCTTCCATGGTGATAATACTACTTCATTGGTCTGTTGTGTGGTCTGGTCTTGTATGCATATAAATGAATGTCTGAAATATTATGACGATCTTGTACTGGTGATTATTGGTATATTATTCCGCTTCGTTCGGGGCCAGTTAGTATTGGACCGACCGTCAAGCATAGAGTATCAGTCTCCCCCGTCCTTACTGCGTATTGGTTGCTTAAGATCGTCTACGCATATTGGTCGGTTGTAAGACTTAACAAAAGCATTTGACAATATTTTACTGAATGATTTTTCTTTTAAAAACTAGGTTTTTTCCTTAAGCAAATAAACATTTTTCTTGCTAAATTTTGTTTTTTATAAATAACACGTATTTCTTCCATAGACACAAACATCTAATTAAAGTCATGTTAAACGTACAAGACTTGTCCTTTAATGTTGGACTAGAAGCATAGTTGTCGTAAATTTTACCCGGAATCCTGTGGTTACACAGGTTTACAATTAGACAATAAGTTTAATATCTTAATATAATGACATTCATTTATTTAATAAAAACGTTTTCATCATGACGTTGGATATCATACAAACATCAAAAACTTAGTTTCCCATAAATTTGTACATAAAAAATGTATTATTATTTTATCTCTATAAATGTTACCTAACATTTATAAACAAGTTCGGTTTTCTTCATTATTCATTTAGTTTATCATAGAGAACAGAAAGTTCTCATCGAAATCATAAAGAAATAAACCAAATGAAAATGGTTCTCGAAAATGCGAAGTGAAGCACAAAAAATATCAGAAAGTCTGAACTAATTTTAATTTTGATGATTAATGTATCAAACTGGTTTTCTCGTTCCTCCAAGTTCTATATCACATATACAATCTAAATAAATATGTTTCCACTAGCTTCAACCAGATCTGTTATGAAGTCGGACTGTATTGTTAGTCGTACTAATTTTCCATTTAGTATATATCACTATTTAGAAATTCGATAATTTAACAATCTGATTTTCTTAGGTACGAACTGAAAAAAATCCCGAATAAAATGCTCAGTATATTTTATTACATTATCTATTGTTGAACTATCATATTAGGAACAATTTAAGCTACGGTATATGAAAGGTTTTTGCGTAACGCTAGGGAGAATCTATCTTAAATAGAAACTTCTGATGGTGCTATGTTCACTAAGCTGAGTGGTTTAATTGTAAAGTTTTCAGTCTCAATAACATTTTCAGCTCTCAAATAAACCTCAATTACCCCTCAGTGATTTTGTCGAGAAAGATAATGCAACCCCTACAATTACTTGATAGATGTAATATCAACAAATTATTTTAAAGTAATTATTTATAACTTATCTAATTTCTATTATTTTTACACATTTTTAGCCATAGATTGTCCATTGAGTATCCTATGGTTAAAGAAGGTTCCAGCAATTGTATGCAGCACCCTAATTCTAATAGGTGTTGCTATTATTTTAATATATTTATGCAGTCGTCTTAGCAGACGATCAACATATGAGACAATTAGATAATTATATATTTTTCAATGAATTACTTTTACACAAATCATAAATGGTTCTGGTTGTAGATTCGCTTATTATTTTCTGTATCTCATCCTTGATATTTTTGTATAATCAAATGTAATTAAATTGTTATCTCTTCCTTACTTTTATTGGACAGATTATTTATTTATGAAAAAAATAGCCTATACCTTAATACGTTCGTTGTGTAATAAAACCGGAAAATAACCTATACACCGATGATAAAAGAAAATTTGGGAACTTATTCATTTTTTTATTTTATGATAACACCTATTGTTCGTAATGTAAAACTTTACTTGTAATGACATTAAAAAAAAATTATTATTACAACTGATACCAATATTTACTTTGTTTTCTTTTGTTATTTCTCCCATTGGTTGGTTTATTGTAAGCCATTATTCAATTTTCTAAACCATTCTTTTTCCTTACTGTTGCTGTTATAACATACAAATTTATGACCATTTATTTAAACACATGAAGATTGGTACAGAGAGGCGCCAAATATACATGTGCCACACTTCGTCATTCGATTTGTGTGAGGGCCGGAACACTGTCCAAGAGCTTAAACTGAAACAGGTGGTTTTCTTAAACGGGCCACTCTCCGAACCATTGACCTAGAGGTCTAATTCACAAGACTGGATAAATGTTAAGAGATGCAGTCCGATGGTAAACAGTGACCAACGATAGGTTCATAAGGGCGGCCTGCTTAAACATCTGGGCTACCTGTTCCTGTCATTTATATATTTCAACAAGTTATCTAATATTGTTTGTTTTAATACATCATTATGGCTATTAAGCACACAACCTATTCCGGTGCGTTTCTGAAAACTGTACAAGCTTACGCTGTAAAGGTTACAAAAGGCCTTATCAGAGATGTCGTGTTTGCTGGGAACATGCAGCAAAAAGAATATACATTATTCATATGTCGATTGACCGAACTGCTGACATCCAACTGGCGATCACTGAATGTTTATCATCAGGAGCAACGAAGAAATAAGAAATGTAAACATGTTGAAATACTTTATGCTGAGAATTCGATTTTGTACCAAATAATATAATATTGAATAAAGCTAATAATAATAAATAAATAAAATAAATATGCCATTTGTTCCCTCAGGATACTGGAGCCCATGTGCACCATTGGTTTGGAATCAGGGTTCTCCAACTCCCCTAGGTAGATTCTTCGTTTCCACTAACCCGGTTAAAGCTCCAGACATTCGCTTTTCGTCCTCTCAATTTCGTAAACAACACTCCCGTCACGAGAAGGCAGTGAGTAGGGCTTCCTTGACAGTGGCCATGTGAGAGCATTTCGAGAGAGAGCTGACTCTCCCCACCCTCGGCCGTACCAGGACAATTGGGGACATGCCCATGAATATGATGTTTCAAAGAGTTCAAGACATTAAAATGCAATTGGAATAATGGTCAAGAAAATGTAGATTTATTATGTGCTTTGATTTCAACCATTTAGAATTTGACATGGAGCAAATTGTTATAAATGAAATTGTAAAAGTGAGCTGATAATTAGTCGATAGCAGAATACTGAAATGCAAACCACTACATAAAGTAGGGCTGGAATAAAGACTGAATGATTGAAATACGCAATGATTTATTTAATTCTTACTCAAAAGTTTGCTTGACATCCCGGTGATACGTACTATAGGATTGGTCCCTAGAAGTACGATCTCTGTGGTCTAGTGGTTAGGACATTGCGTTGTGGCCTCACTAACCCATGTTCGAACCCTGGCAGCGACATTCCATTGCCCCTAAATACCCTAGTAGGGTTGGAAAACCCTGATTCCATACCAATGGGGCACATGGGCTCCAGGTTCGTAAGAAAAAAAGCATATGAACCTTTTGTTGATCACCGTTTACTATGGGACTGCATCTCCTTATGTTGCTCCACTGCCTTGTGGATTAGACCTTTAGCTCAAAGGCTCGGAGTGTGACCCCCTAAGAAGACCACCTGCTTCGGTTTGGGCACCTTGGCGGTATTCCAGCCCTCATACGAATTGAATGACTTGTGTGGCTCATATCTGTTTGGTGCCTCCTTGTACCAATGTTTATGTGTTTAAATAAATTACTCAAAAGTGGGCAGTCGAGAACCTAAGGTTTCTTATAATTAAATATATTTTCAGCGTAACATTCTGTATTACATGATTGCATGGAGCAATATATTTAATAGTATTGATGAAAAAGGAGATATATCCCTTCCTCCAGAAAACTTCTGACCACATTTCCTTTCAATTCATTCGCCACTGTTGATAATTGTTTATCATTTACCATAGCAGTGATGCTGCTATAATATGCTTTTTGAAGTTAAGATTATATGTATCGTTTTAAACAACTGATGGCATAATTTAGTCCACGGTCATGAAGCTTTTACGTATTAACTACCTTAAAAACACAGTTCTATTGTCAATAAAAAGACGTTACAACATTTATTGGGGAGCCACTTGAGATTTATTATAAGCAGTTTCATTTGGCATAAGTACCTCACCGCTAACTTTTACTTCTGATGATGAGCAAAGATTGGTCTTGACTTTGGTTTTAAGCATGTAATTTGACAACTTTTATGACTAAAAGTGAATATGCAAATAAAAATTTCTTTCACCGGACTGAAAAAATAAACTTTCGACACATGAAGACAATGTTACTTATAGCCGTTTAATTCTAATCGCATGTTATAAATGGCGATGAGATAATTATGCATATACCATATCTATCCTTTGAATACCATTAAATAATGTAGAAAAACTACCTTGCAACTCATTTGGAAAGTCCTTCTTCTGAAACTATTTTAGAACCAGGAAATTCGATTCGCAGTCTTATGCTGCTTAGTACTAACAGAACAAAACTATCTACTGCAAATACATTTGGAAACTAAACCATGCTTCAACTTTTTTATCGTATATAAGATAACTTGAACATACAAAAATATAGTGGTAGTGTTCACCACTTAACAAATTGTTATAATCAAATATCGAAATTCAGTTAAGTGAATAATACGTTAAGGATTTTGATGTTGGTTTGTTCTCTGAGCTGGATGGTTGGGTCGTGGAACTTTCATCGTCCTTCTGAACGACATCATCTGCACAAATCCGAAGTTTGTGCTGATGATGTCGTTCAGAAGGACGATGAAAGCTCCAAGACCCAACCATCCAGCTCAGAGAACAAACCAACATGAAAATCACCCACCTGAGCTACAAATCTTCTCCGCCATCTCAATACGTTAAGGAAACTGTTCCTCTTAAAAATGCAGATGGACTGATTAGAGATGATGTAATTTTGTTTTCTCCTGGGTCTTGAAGTTCAGGGAAACGAGTTAGTTCAACTGTGACATAGAACGGTCTATGGACTCACTGATATTGTGGAATAATCGACATTCAAAAGTAGTTGGATTAGAGTAGCACTCGCTGATATCTCGAATGTTATTATGAATAATTTGTTAACAGCAAATTTACATGCGTTTAAATTCAGTACATCAGAACATGAAACTCTTACTTGCTGAAGTTTTTCGATGTAACTAAGTGTAAAAAAATGAGAAATATAGTCTTAATTTTGTTTTCATTCGCCTTACTTATGTAAGTACAACAGTTTATTAAAGTTTTCCATGGTTATCTGAGATTAACTCAACTATCAGGTTTCATACTAAGCTCTTTAATGAGCCTGTAAAATTTCCAAAGACTGTGTAACGTGACTTCTCTGTTAATATTTTCACTTCATATCCTCCTCTGTTGGTCTCTACTGATTCTGATATTTATCATCTCTGCAATTAATTTAAAAAGACCGGATGAATTTTTAAATTTTATTAGGTGTCGGTTAATTCAATGGATTTCTTCATGATGTGTTTGAAAAGTACTAACTGTTTTTAATCTCTTGTTCTATCAAATTATACGTGAGTTCAAGTAGTATCTAGACTGAATTCTTTATCATTCAGCCTTTTCAGTACTAATTTAATACTTTAAACTAAAATTTGGAGTTAACACAACTTCCACTATTATGTTTCTTCCATCAATTTAAGCCCTAGTCGAGCTGTAAGCTACAATTATCGGGAGTTCTCAAAATATCACTATTATTCAAAAAAAAACCCAGATCATATTCACAGCAATATAAATTTGATCGATAAAACGTTTCAGATCCGAAGTCATTTTGTTTGTCTAATGTTAATTATTCATTGAAACAAAAAGTTATAACTGAAATAGGTAATACTTCATAATTTTTAAATTATATGAATTCTGATATTCACATATTTCATAAGCATTAATACCAAGGTTGGAATTGATAGTTTTAATTTAATGGGACAGTGAATAGAAAGTTAATAATGATTAAATAATTATATTTATGTAATATTTCAAAAGGTAGGAATTGGACTTATTTTGTTATTATTGAACATTTCATGTTCATAATTGACTTTTTTACAGTTCTCTGATAAAACAATAATTTTAGAAAGTATGCTAATATCATATAACAGGGTTCCTTTATAAATGCAAACAAAGCAGAAACAACCAGAATAAAATGAGTTGATTCTATTTCATAGCTTCTACTTTTATGTCTTATGAGGCGACTAGAAAATTTATTTATTTAAACTCATAAATATTGTAACAAGGGGGCACCAGACATATTATGTGCCACACAAATCTCATTTTGATTTGTATGAGGGCTGAGATACTGCCCAGGTGCCCAAACCGAAGCAGATGGTTTTCATAGAGGGTCTTTGACCTCTGATCCACAAGGCAATGGAGCATCGTGAGGAGATGCAGTCCCATGGTAGCCAGTGACTAACGATTGATTCATACGCCATTTGTTCCATCAGGATACTGGAGCCCATGTGTACCATTGGTTTGGAATCAGGGTTTTCCCACTCCCCTAGGCGGACTATCCGTGTCCACCAAGCCGGTTAAATCGCCGGACATTCGCTTCTCATCCTCTCAACTTCGTAAACAACACCCCCGTCGCGATAAGGCAATGAGTAGGACTTCGACTAGAAAATG